GAAAAAACACTCACATATCCTGAAAGGTTGAGAGGATGCTCAGGATGATAGCGACTAGTATTCTTCCCTCCACTTACAAGCTCTAGCAGCAAAACTCCAAAGCTAAATACATCAGTTTTGATTGAAACGAGACCATGAAAGGCATATTCCGGAGACATATAACCACTGCAAAAATAATCAAAAGATGATTTTTAAACTTTTGGTAGAGTAAACAAACGCAATTTTCAAATGCAAGAAGAGGCAAACAAATGTGGAACTACTTACTATGTTCCAAACAACTCTATTTGTGTTTGCTTCATATTCATTCACATCAAATATTCTAGCCAACCCAAAATCTGATATTTTTGGATTCATGTCAGCATCAAGCAAAATGTTGCTAGCCTTTAAGTCTCTATGAACCACTCTCAATCTAGAATACTTATGAAGATAAAGAAGCCCTTGAGCAACTCCTTCAACAATGATCAAGCGTCTATTCCAATTCAACATTTTCTTCTTTGCAGCATCTGATTGCCAATTTCAACTTAACGTGAATTTTATCAGGTAGAGAAAGATGAAAGGTAATAAACATATCAGATAGGAGAATCTTTACCAAAGAGAAAAGAGTCCAAGCTTTTGTTTGGCATATACTCGTAGATTAATATCTTTTCTTCTCCTTGAATGCAAAAGCCTAGAAGCCTCACAAGATTAGTGTGCTGTAGCTTTGCAATTAGTAGTGCTTCATTCTTGAACTCGGCCATTCCTTGTCCTGAACTTCTCGAGAGTCGTTTTATCGCCACTTCTCTACCATCAAATAGTATTCCCTGAAAATTTCCTCTTTAATTAGCTGTTAGTTAACAGAATTTATAGTTTTGCCTCACAGTATATATTACCTTATAAACTGGTCCAAAGCCGCCTTCTCCAAGCTTATTTGCAGTTGAAAAATAGTTGGTAGCGTAAACAATGCTTTCAAAACTGAAGACATGGATCTCATTTGTATCTTTCTTATGACTTTTTGGTTTTCCAGATGAGATGGAAGGGGCCTCATCGCCTTCCAGTTCTTTTATTAGTGTCCTCTGGTTAATGTTTTCATCCCCTAATCAAATTAAAAGATTCAGATTTTGAGAAGTATAAACACAATAAACAAATGAATTGTAGAGTGAGAGACCAACCATTTGATGTGAAATTTTTCCATATGATATAGCAGATTGAAACGAAAGAGGGTATGATCATTATTCCTCCAACTGCAATGGTTGGCCACTTCCACCACTTACTCCCTGCAATTAATTGACAAACATCTTTAATAGCATAACCATTCTAATGCAATGGATCTAGGCAAGGCTGTTTCCTCTAAAAATGAAGTAAACTTACCTTTCGAAGGAAGGAAGTAGATGTAGCGGCCATCCTGTGTTGCACCAAAGATGGTCCTTGACGTCCAAATTTCACAGCCACTTTGATTCACAATATTTGTGGAAGCATAGGCAAAACAAGAACAATTTAACAAGCATTTGGCCTTACAATCCTCAATAGTCATGTTGTGACTCTCGCTGAATCTATATCCGGCTTTCGACATTGAGCCCAATTTCTTGTTGATGTAATTATACTCATCAAGAAGAGTATCACCAATATTCCTGCACTTGGGAAGCTTCTGCTTTAGGCATAACCAGCCATCATGATCACATGAAACTAATGGGGACCAGAATCCATGAGCATAGATCATGAGCAAACCATCCGACTGCAAATCTGCTGAATGAATTCTTATTCTTGAGAATATGATTGTTGAAGTGTAATAGAAGAACATCTCATTCTCATTTTGAGTAAAACTAAAGTTGTAACCATAGTATGATGCCTGTGGAAAACCAGAATAGCTCCGTTGCCAAGGTCCGCTTCTCCAGTATAAATCCCCTTGTCGCCACATGATCAGCTCATTTGTGCCATTGGGATTCAAGCCTAGTGTAAAAGGGCCCGAGGCAGGTGAATTGTAACCACCATCATTATCCCACGATGTCAAAGTCCAATTCAACCCACTATTAAAGTTGATTCCTAGTTTCATCCCTGGAAGAAGAGTGTCTGTTGGATGATCAAAACTCTGCCACAAAACACTCTTCACAGATCCATCTGAATTCAGCTCGTGCAGTACAAAGTTGCCATCGTTCTGTAGGGTGGCACTGGCCTGAATTGAAGCTCTTGTTGATGAATATATGGGGATGACTTTTCTCTGATCGGATAAAATCTCAAGGCTTCCATTACCGTTAACTGAAAGAATTCCAGAATTGGTGAAAATGGGACTGTTCGGATTAGCAATCCACACTGGGTAATCGACAAATACAAATTCGCCTCCTCCTCGATACCATGTTTCATCGTTATACCATATTCCCAAGAAAGTTCTACGGTCCCCGTTGGGTAAGAAGAATCCTAACCTGAAGAGATCATTTGATGATTCCAGCAGCTCTCCATAACTGAGTTGTTTGGTTTGGTCTAAAGTGTCAGTTGCAAAATAAGAAGGGATCAGCAAACATGAAAGCCAGAGAAGTACGGATGCTCTGCCTCTGCCACCCATTATTTTTGCAACCTGCAGAGTAGGGCGAGGTAAGAGGTTACAATTTATGAAGCTTGGAATATAGATTGAATCTTTCAACTACCATTAACGTAGGCGCAGGGGCAGGTCACTTAAGTCAAGGCTGACTCCTTTTTCAAACGGACAAGGAAGGTACTTTCATTGCTCCTTCTTCGAAAGTAAAGGAAATGCGTAACTTCAAGCTCGTTCTGGTTCTTTTTTTCATTTTTCTTTTTTTTTTTTTAAATATTCCACCAAAAATCCTGATTACAAATATATCAAGATTATTCAATTATTCAATGGAATTCGATTATTATTATTCAAAAACTGTCATCTTTCCCTTTCCCACATGTACGCTCAACAACAAATCTACCTTGAAAGTTCAGGCTTGACAACTAAATTGTCACTCTCCAAAAAGTGCAAAAAAAGAGTGTGATGAGTATAATGATTCCCCAGTGAAGAGAAAAAAAGTGCAATGTGTATAATGCTTCGCCTTAATTCAATAAATAATTTAAATCAAGATGTGCAATGTGTATAATGCTTCACCTTAATTCAATAAATAATTCAAATCAAGATGTCAATCTTATGTCTTAGCTAAAAGATTTTAGCAATTAATGATTTTGTGAAAAGAATATGTTGGATTCTTAGTTGAATAGATTTGATGGACAAGTATTTCTAAATTTTTTATAGGAGTTTGTATGTAGAAATTTACTGTGGTGAGATGTGTATAAATATTATATTTTGTAATAATCTATTAGGGTGTATAAATATTATATTTTGTAATAATCTATTAGGTGGATATGATAAATACGCAAAATCCATATATGTAATTTATTTAGATTTTGAGTGTTTCAAATATATTAATCACATAACATTTGTATTTAATATGTATTTAATTTCATTTTAGTGACTTGAAGTCAATGTCTAAGAAAATCTTGGCACTCAATTTTTAAAATATGCTCTATCTTAGTATATATATTATTAGTAAGATATGTTAATGCTTTCGATTGCAATAAGATACGATACGTTTGGACCAAAAATTATTCTTTTAAGAATAAAAAATGTTATCCTTTATGTTAAGAGATTGACCCACCATTGGTGAGCACAAAGCATAAGTTTTATTCATGTTGAAGCATTTTAAAATTTCTTATTAATAGTTGGATTGATAATTAAAAAAACAAACTTGAAGTGCTTGATCTATTCAATGAGTCAAAATTTTATTATTTTGAGATCTTTCATCTCACAATCACCCTTTAGACGATGCTATTTATAATACCTTGAAAATTTTTTGAGCTTTAATTAATTTATCAAGGGGGTTGAGTGAAGGAATTATAAATTGAGGGGATTTAATGATAAGAAAAGGAGTTGGGCTTGATTGGATCAAATAAAATTAGAGGACTTAATCTTTAGGGTTTAGAATCTTGAGGGGTTTATTTTATAAAATTCATTAATTTGACCAAATTAAGTTAAACTAATGACTGTAATCATCCTATAAAAAAAGTTATCGTATTTTTTAATATTTAAAGTGGTAATAAATTTTTTATAATTAATAAACTAGTTACATATATTTAATTATTTGATATCTAAATCAAATATTAAATTTAATAATTAATTCTGAAAATATATTTATTAAAGTATAATATTTTTAAAATTAAAACTATAATTATTTTAAAATTTTAAAAACTGATATGTATTATACACTATATATATATATATGGAATTTGAGATGGCACGGGATTGGGCCTCGTTTCATATAACGTTTTCGTATGCTTGAATTGGGCCAGAACTCTGACCCACAATTAAATCCAATCCAAGACCCAATTCCATACAGTAATCGTCTTTCCGGGTTCTGGTCCGTCCACCGCGACTCCGCCATGATGGGGTCGCCATCACTCACCAGCAACTTCAACAGAACCCTCTCTTTTCCCTCCGTCGTTTCCCGCCAAATCCTCTCCCACCTGATCTTCTTCTCCTTCGTTTAGCAGTCATTCGGTAAAATTCTGACAATAAACTCATGATTGCCGCTGCCTCGCCCAATGCCTTGCCCCTGCATGCTTTCCGGCGAAATCCAATCTCGTTCAGGTAAAAGCTTTTGGAGGAGTGTACATTTCTTTGCACCGCCACCGAGGAAGAGAAGTTGACTCGCCGTTCCCATCTCAATTTTCCAATTGTAAGTTTCGTCACAATTTCTTTTC